GGATGGGGATGGCTGGTGGTTCCCACCTGGTACAGTGGGTGCGTGAGCAGCATTTGCTGTGTGCAGCAGCACAGAAGCAGCTTAACTTTACTGATGGCATCTGTTGCTTCTGATCTGGATTAAGAGAGTCACAGGCTGCTTGTAGGAACGTTATAGAAAAGATGTTTAATTTACGAATCTTGGCTAACCTGAGAATAACCCATCTCATTAAAGGTCCTGGTGTGTGCCACCCAATTCTCCAGGAAATAAAGTGTTTTTAAAAAAGCATATTAAACACTGAGTGAAGCCTCAAAGGCGTGTTCTGAAATTCCAGACACTGGCAGAGGGAAGGAATCAAGAAGTCCACAGTAGACAGCCTTTATGATTTGCTTTGGTAGGTGCGAGTTAGCACATTTCTTTGTGCCAGCATTCAATGTGACCCTGATGCTCAAGGTGAAACCCCATAATGCTTCTCTCCAATTAGGACTAACAGAGCAAAAATGAGAAGTCCATGCCTCTGCAGCCAAGATGCATCTGATCTCTTGAGTTTAAAACCTTTCTTGTTGTTGGTATTCAGAAATGCAAATACACAGATTTTAGTTGTAACTTGGTACTTCTGTGCCTGCAAAAACTGCAAACGGCTCACCTTAATTTTCTGATGTCAAAGTATCCCTTATGTAGGGTTTCCAGTGAATGCTTACAAGGATTTGATCTTCCCCGAGGCGTGCTGTCTCCCTCCTAGGTGCTCTAGCTCAACTTCTGGGCTGAGACACACGTAAGTGATAACTGTGATTATCCCTGGAGTATAACAATACGTGCATCAGCAGAGCGTGCAGTTCTGCTGTCAAGGCGTGTTTTGCTGCAGGAAAAAAATCCCTTTGAACACCCTTGAAGGTCGTGCTGTGAATGACTAACTGCCTTTTACTGAGCAGTTAATGGAGCTTGGCCAAAGCACTTCAGGTGCTTTTGGTCATACGTCCACATTATTGCATTTCAAATAGACTCACAGTAGATCTTCATTTGCCTGGGAAATTTTGAGATCCTTTCCGTGCTATTTCAGTGTTGCTATTTTCACGCTTTGTCCTAAAGGCAAAGAGTGTTCCTGGCAGTTTGGTAATGGCGTGCCTTTAAGGACAGCGCCGGGATCAAGTAAGCACAAGTACAAGGCAGCAGCAAACCAACTGATTCTGCAGATGTTGAGCCAGATTTCTCAAAACCAGACAGTAGACAGATCCAGCAAAGCACATACAGCACTTGTGAGAAAAGCAGATTGTAGATCCCCCACACAACTATAAAAATGACAAGTCTGAACAGTGATGGAAATAAAGTAGAATTCTGAGCTCTGGCATAACGCAGGCAGCCTACTATCCACCACAGACTTGTGGTCCTCCTTGCACCAGTCACTGGTATCTCCATGGTAGGAGTAAAGTCCGTGCTGGTGTCTCTGCACACATTATAATATCATAAAATGTTTAAGAATCAGCCTCTGTGATCACCTATTTCTATTGTCTCATGTAAGAGACTGCCCTGCTCCTGCCCAGTATGCAGAGTGGGCAGTGCTTAGCCACACACATGGAATGCCTGCAAAGAGGAGCATGGCTTAAAAGGCTCATCAAGGGCTTAGCAAGCTGTAATGTCTTTAATCTGTTTTCTTTTTCAAACTCATCATATGGCTTCAAGTCACTTTACAATTCAGTTTCTTCTGAGCTACAGATAATATTAATCTGCCTTCTTAATACTTCCTGCATTAATAGTCCTGCTATTACTATGAAGATATAGTAAAGCAATCAAAAATACTGAATTAACCCCGTGGTATCACTCACTGAAATACAGATAAACTCTTGAAGAGCCTTCCATTAATCTCACCTTTCAAACTGCAAGTTTTTCCCACCCTTATTTATGCACTTTAAGAATCAAATTGGTCTTAGAGAGAGGAACCGTGAAGTTTAAGCACTAAAACACAACTCAGGATCTTTCCCAGCATTCTGTCACATCTCAAAGGGGCAGTGCACAACCTGTAACACTCAGCATCCCACCCATACAGCAGTTGCAAATTTCCACTGGGACTGAACCCATCTTGAGGCGCGTGAGTTCACAACATCCTGCAATTATGGAATTTGATTTTGTTTTTTTGTCTGCTACTTCAGCAATGAGAATGGCCGGAAATGGAATATCAGTGCACTTCAGGAGAGAGAATGAAGTGTCAGTGTTTTCCAGAGCAATACATAAAATAGACATGGTGTCAAAAACAAGAACAAAGGGCAGGCTTTAATAGTTGTTCATTTTACCTCTTTTCAATAGCTCTTTATTTGTAGTAGTGCAGGTACACACGAAAGACCATAAAGACCATTCTTGAGCCTGATGAATACAAGTCTCAGAATTTAAGCACAATCATGGGATTCCCTATACATCCTTCAGGGCACATTAATTAGCATGAATTGCCAGTTACCAAATGAAATTAATTTCCTCTGTTAATGCTGTGTTCTGCAACACTCACTTGGAACACTGCATCTCACTTTTATGTAACACGTGCTACTCAAATGGTGTGTAATCCTTGCAGACAGCATAGTGAAAATGTTCAATTTGTGTCCATTGATACAGAAGTCAAACTTACTGCGAGTCCGCATCGTTTATAGAAATTGCATATGCAATTAAATCCTAGAAAGTATTAAAACTTTTGTTGTCCTAATTATATATTATTTCATTATTCAGTAATGTAAGTCCCAGATTCTAGCTCTCTTGTTAATATAGCGACCCAATAAATGCACTTCTGAAATTAAGTTGTAGCACATTTTTTATTAAACATTTTCTCAGCTTATACTTTGAACATAAATACGTACTTTTATGGCTCATGTTACAAAAGACCCTACTATATGTTAGAAAACATATACAGAATATATCGTAGTGGTTACACTTTCTCCCCCTTTTCCCTAAAGTGTTCCATAAATTCTACAAATCTAGCAAAGCAGTACCAGAAAGCAAAATCCAATCTACCCAGCAGCAGTCAGAAATAGCTATAAAGTTTACTTGCATGCTGTAAGAGAAACTTTGGTTCCTGTCTGCTTTCACTGCAAGGCAATACCTTATTATGGAAGCTATGTATCAGAAAACAAGCATTGCACGTCATGCTCCATCACTGAAGGTCGACTTCAATTCATATTTCCAAAGGTGTACAGCTTATCTTTGTTTTATTTCCACTTGGTAAGACAAATACATATCTTTACTTTCAAAGCAGTATAGTGTAAATGAAGGACCTATTTCTGTTCTTACTGAAGTCAGTGGCAAAACTTCAATGGACTTTCTGAAGAGCAGATTTGTATTTTGTTTCTCCTGTTCTCTTGACTAAACTGAAGAAAGCTACATTTCAGCTGGAAGGTAGGATGAATATCACTGAGAATTTTAAAACTCTTGTGCCTCATTTCTAGCATCTCCGGTAATAACTCCACACGTGGGTTTCCAGCTTATTACATGGGGTCTTAGCTTACCATTCTTAATGATAAAGACCCATGAAAAAGTGAGCATAATCTTCCAGCCCCAAAAGTATGGACATGGAAGCCCACACTTGAGGAGCATGCAGAATCACACCTGTGGTCTTTCTGCTCTAGTGTAGCAAAGAGACATCAGGTTATATAGGCTTTATACGCAGGAGAGGCTTTATACACAGCTCACACTGTACAATTTAGTATTTCCACACAGTGGGCAAAGATAAACCCCCAGGGCCTATGGAAGAATGTAGAAAACGCCGCTGGTCTTGAACCCTCAGGCAAGGTAGACCAGGCACAAGGACAAGAAGAAGAGGAAAACTCTGGGGAAATGTTGCTGGCAGCCTGCCTTAGAGACACTGCTTTTTATTTCACAGGGACTGACGCCGACACCAAGTCCATATCAATGCTGGGAGCACCCAGCTGACACGGGTAGGAATCGTGCAGTAGCATTCCCTCTGTCCTGGTTGTATGCCATGTGGCAGCAAGGCAGGACACCACCTTACTGCAGCACTCCAAACTCAGTGAATCAGCCCATTCACTGACTTTGGTGTTGGCTTGATGCAGATTCACTTTTCAGAGCAGACCGAAAATTTAGAGTACATTTATAATTTACTGGGACAAGACAAGCGCCAAAACAGCCAAAACTTGCGCTTGATTTTAGTCAATGCAAACACCTGATAGACTTTTGCTTTGGATATATTTAGTTTATATTTTACTGAACTGATGGACGGTATTAGAGTTTTTAACACACCCAAATTAAGCCTAAGAGCCTTAACCTCTCTGTATCTTTCAGTTTATTGACAAGGGAAGAAGATAGAAGCCCTCATTTCACACATATTAAATCCGTTGTGACTGAACAAGGTGTCTCATAACCATTTTTTTCAATATCTTTCTGAGCTGAAGGCCTTGCCTTGTATTTCACACGCAGAGAGTACAGTGCAAAAAGCAATGTCAATAGTATCCCCGAGTTCAAAATTCCTTTTGGAAATATCCATTCATTAAGAAAAAGAAGATTAACTGGGTCCCTGTTTAAAATTCAGCCCTCTAAAACAGTACCAAAGCAACACCTTGTCCTACTCAGTGAATAAATGCAAACAAATTGTGCACCCTAGTTTTACAATATCCATTTATCAGATCACGCTTGGCTGAACCTCTGGGTGAGTAGATTGGACCATAACCCTGCTGTCTGCACTTGTGGACTGACATTATCTGATAGGTATTTGCCTGAGGACATAGCACAGATCCACTGATGTAGGACGAAAATCCACAACAATTACTTGTGCCTCCCACAGATTATTTCAGTATATTTCTGAGCTCATTATTTACATCTGGGATATGCATACCTCGTTAATAATGGCACAGTCCATATCTACCTTTGACACAAAATTGCCAGGAGGGGAACGCATTACCAGCACTACAATGCACAGCTGTTCTTTATCTGTACTTTCTATTATGTGTGCCATGATATCCTTACAACTTTCTCTGTATGACATAGATGAATAAAAGACACATTATACCTACCAAGAAAATTAATGGACTGCAACTTTTTTCATAATACTGAGCATTAAGAATACAAAGAAAAAATCTATTGTCTATGTTGAAAAAAAAAAAAAAAGTTTCAATTAATATAACTGTGTTTGTTCAGAGCAAACTCTGGCTTATGGAGTGATGTTACTAACTGTTACAGTAATTACTAATATTAGCTTTCACATTAGGATTTTTATTGTTAAAAATTTTTTTGTGCTAATTTGTTAAAATCTACAGCCCATGCAATATGTCGGTTTGGAAAAGGAAACAACAGCTGATTTACATAAGCAAAAACCAGCATGTGACACAGCACATGTTCCTTGCCTTCCCCAAGTGCTATAGAACATAATGACGATATTTATAAATGTGAACATAAATAAGACAAAAGTCCTAAAATCTTTTAAAATGTCTGACAAATCCTTTCTGTTCTAAGTATCAAAGATAGCATCAACAGCTAGACATTTTCCAATACCCTGACACCGCAGAATATTCTACGTACGTAAAGACTCTGCTTTGTATCCCTTAATTCCGTGATCAAATCCTACTGAAATTGCTCCCATGTCATAAAGTCTTTTGGCTTGGGTCCTAAGCCAGCATTTGCTGTATAAAGATATCAGACTTTTTAATAGCAGAAAGTATCTTGAATTTAGTTCACTCATATATTTAATAGCGGGATTTGCCAGACCATCACTGAGGACACTAATTCATCTTGTCGTTGCTGCTTGGTCTTCTTGTTCACTCTTCTGTGTCCTTGACCACCAGAAATGACTAATACTGAACTTGCTTTCATTTTCTTGGATCTCTGTCTTTTATTTTTAAAAGAGATATTTTGATCCTTCAAAAGCTCATAAATGTTACTGTCCTCTGGCCTATGCTCTAGGGAACTTGATGTAAGGGATCCAGAAGATGAAGACAAGTCACTTTTTTGTGCAATGGATCCTGCCGAACCTCCCAGCCAAACTGAAGTATCAGGGTTGCTGCTATTGGAAGAGCCTGGTCTGTCACTGTGCAGAACATTCCTCTGGTCTTTGTCTTTAGATTCTGAGCCACGAGGCAGGCTGTTCCTTAGCTTGTTTTTGTTTTTCTTGTTTATAGATGTAGCCATTACAAGAAACTTGACCGGCCCATTGTGCGCGTGATACGACACCATTCCTCTCCCTGCAGCCAAAAGAAAAGACAACAATATTTTAATTACAGCACTCCACAATATTTACTTCGTTAAATTTGCTTAGGAATGCATAACTCTTAAAATCCTGTTATATGCATTCAGTCCATCCACAGACTGTCTATTTCCTTGTACATAAACAATTTAAAGAAAAGTGTAGGAAAAAAAATTATCTATCGTGCCATAAGGATGTTTTAGGACTGTGTCAATAAACCAGTTGGAACACAACAGAATGAATTCAAGTCGACTTGTGCTGTGTTACGGCAGCATGAATACAGACATTTTCTGCTAACTTTTTTTGGGCATTGACACAAAAATAACATTCTGAGTTTTCTACAGTAACCCACAAAGAAAATATGTGGTTTTCAGTTAATCCTACCATGCCCCTGTACCATTCTAGAAAAGCATATGAACATCTCTTTCATTGCAATATCTGCTAGTAGTACAAGGAAAAATTACACATGAAAATCATAAGAATATATGAGAAACAAATTGCATAATGTCAAATTCAGAAGCTCTAACAACATCAGTGTATGGGGCTCTTACAGCAAGAAAAAAAAGCATAGCATTATACAAAATCACCTATAAGATGAAAAGAAGTTAAGTTATCAAAGAAAAGAAACAACTACTCTACAAGTCACCCCATCCATCCCTAACTTCCTAATACATTCCAGGTTATGATTAAAAAAAAAAAAATCTATTTTTGCAGAAAGTGCAATGGCATAAAGATGAATCATCAGGACTGAAAGCACAAGTGAGAAAAGTGCAATTTTTTTTTTGTTTGTTTGTTCAAATTCTAAATACTTGTATTGCATTTATTTTTATCTACTATTGCTTCCATAACTTCTAAGAAACATTTGTCATATGTAGGGGCCTATGGGAAAGCTGGGGAGGGACTTCTTCTAAAGGCAGGTAGTGGCAGGCTGAGAACAAATGGCTTTAAACTGTAAGAGAATAGAGTTACACTAGATATTAGGAAGAAATTCTTTAATGTGAAGGTGGTGAGACACTGGAACAGGTTGCCCAGTGAGGCTGTGGATGCCACCTCCCTGGAAGCACTCAAAGCCAGGCTGGATGGGGCTGTGAGCAACCTGGTCTAGAAGGAGGTGTCCCTGCCTATAGCAAGGAGTTGGAACTAGAAGATCTTAAAGGTCCCTTCCAAGCCAAACCATTCAGTGATTCCCTGATTATTGCTGCATATTTTGCTGAACACAATTCATTTTCATTCTGAAAAGTTACATATACTTTTTTTTTTTTAATCCCTGAAGGAGGTTACAAATAACTTGCCTCATAGAATATGACCGCTTTTCTCCACAGCTCAGCAGCTCTAGTAAAATTGTGAAACTGAACTGTAGCATGGCATAGTACTTAATTGAAATTACATACATTAAAAAAAAATAAATCTCACTTCTGCTAGCAGCTTAAACATTTACAAAATGATTCAGCAGCATTCCTACGTTTCAAACAAGGCAATATGAAACTAACTTACGAATGCACCAAAATGCAAAAATACTGGTGGTTGTAAAAAAAAAAAATATATATATATATATATGTATGTGTGTGTGTGTGTTCTCACATGTTCCAAGTCTCCAGTTTTGGTAAGAGAAGTCACAAAAACAGTGTGCCAAATAGCCAGTCAGAGAATGTACTGCATTGTCAGTACCCATGTCTCTAAACCTAATGCATCAACCTTCTCCAAGTATGGAAGAAAGAATCTTTGCAATGCCCTCTCTTCTCTTCTTGTATTTTTTTTACTGTACTCTGATAGGATTAATGCCTACCATGTTCTTATTCCATAAAGAAAATTGCTGTCCTGACTCAAACAACTGAGACAAATCCAGATAGGCATGTGAAAATACTTTAATGATAAGGAAGAAGAACAGATAGAATTTCATCACAAAGCCCTGATGAGTACTTCCACAACACACATAGTTTGGCAGAATCATTTGAACTACTGACAGCAAAAAAATCTTCAGCATAACGACATCCTACCAAATCCATTTGAGAAATGTCACTCACCAGTTACTTTGGGAATTCCCTGCAAGCGTGGCACTGGCAATGCTACTATTATCCCCAGATTTGTTCCAACCAGTAATAAGCCATGGCACACCAGCAGACTGGTCACAGAAACACGCTGCTGCCCTGTGAAGTGCAGGAAGTGCTGTATTATTTATGTAATGATCTCCGCCAAGGTCAAAGTAACCTCAAACACACAATCAGCTGCACAGCTGCATTCAGCAAAGCACTCATCAGAAAGGCAAATGCACTGCGGGATTGTATTAAACTTTACATACGTCATAATTTAAATACAGCTGAACTTGCATTATCTGCCCTACATCTCTGAATCACAGTATCTAAAAATAGACACACATTACCTTTACAAATATGCTTTTACAAATTTGACCGTGTATGCTCTTAATAATAAAACTGAAAGGCATCCCACTTCCCAGTGCTCAATAACGTATTACGACAACACACTATACTTGAGACTCAAACTTGTTCATGATTAATTTCTTCTCATGGTTTTATTTTTGTGAAATAGTATAAGAAGTCCACATTGTCCACAGTATCACATCCACACTGGGGTTCCCCTGTACAACAATGACATTGGCATACTGGGATAAATCCCAGTGAAAGCCTATTAAGATGAACAAGACACTGGGGTAAATCATGCACAAAGAGAGACTGAAAAATACAAGTCGTCTGCACTTAATGTACACAGAAGAGACTTTACTCAGATGTGCTCAATGACAGGATAATACACCACGGGTCAAATTTGGAACATGACAAATTTGCTTTGAATGTAAGAAAAACCTTCTTCACCATGAAGACAGCCAACCACTAGTTGCTCAGAGAGGTAGCAGAGTATCTCTGTAATTGAACATACTCAAATTTGGACAAGTTCTTAAGCAACCAGATGTAATTTGCCTTGTTTCAAGAAGACAGACAAAATGAACTCAGAAGTCTAGTCTCTGACCTCATACAAATCTCTTCTATTGACAAGATTTTTGTTTTTCTTAGGAAAATAGTCATTTCTGCTTACAATGCTTGCTAAATATTTAATTCTGGGTAGTTGGACTTACTTTCAAAATGCCCTTGAAAGGTTGCAAAAATGGAAAATGATAAAATAATTCCTGCCAAACTTCTGCCATGATTCCATTTAGAAGCATTTAAACTATGGTGAAGTCACCCAGGTTCACAGCTTACATGTTCTTGGATTTACAATTAACTTTACATGATAAGAGAGCAGTCATTCCCATCTTTATCATAGCCCTCAAGTTGTTAATCACTTCACCAGTAAGTAGGGAATGTGGATTCCACTTCTGATATAACTTAGATGAACCTACATGTTCCACACCTTGAAAAAATACCTTAATTACGGTACATCACAAATGAATGAATTTTCCATCTCTTCCTTTGAAGCTGGGCCAATTTACAGCTAAGAATGCATGAATCACAGACCCAGTTGGAAAGCAGGGAAGAAGCAGTTTGACTGAAGCCTGAAGGTTAAAGCACTCAACTGCAAAGCAGCAGGTGGACTCCAGTCCAAGTCTTTCTTCACAGAACTCTACAAAACCAAAACATTTATCCAGTAATGGTTTATTGTAAAAGGCACATATTACCTGCAGGGCCAGATCTGGATTCTCAGCTTTGACTACCCTAAAACACATTCTAAAATACCTTAAAGGCAATGAGGTCACAGTCCATAGTTGTAATTAGCATGAAAAAGTTGAAGAGCTTCCATCTACTCATGGAGGCCTTCAGTGAGTGTGGTGGTTTCACACGCAGTAGCTAAGCTCTACCATACCACTTCAACTCCTCAAAAAAACAGAGAGAAAATGTGATGAAAAATGCTTGTGGGCTGAGGTAAGGACAGGGAGATCACTCACCAATTACTGTCATGGCCACATAAGGAATAATCAGCATGAGGGAAATTAATTTAATTTTTGCTTACTAATAACAGACTAGAAGAGAGCCACCTATGGTTTTTCCATAAACTGTCATTATTTCTTTTTGTATGATGGTACTATCCCTCTTCAGGTAGATAAGCATACATGGTTTATGCCCTTAGACAAATTATTAACCTTTGGAAGGCTTTATTTATTTATTTTATGAGACGAATTTAGTTTCCAAAGCAAAGCACACAAGAACACTCCTTGAACACTGGTTAGTTAGATGGACAGTCCTCTGGGGAGGCACAGACTTCTACTTCTGGAGAGAGAGCAGTCAAGTGACCACACACTGTCCAAAAACACATCAAAACCCACAGTGAAGACATGTGGCAGCCTTGAGAGTGAAAGAAAAACAGTAATGCACAATAAAAGTCTGCTTGTGCTGTTTTCAAAGCCGTACATACAACATGTGACAACTATTTGTCTTCCTCAATCATTTGCTAATACAGATTTTACATTTACCTTTATAACAGGTCAAAACAAGTTCAAATGTGGATGTTCAACAACCTCTGCATATTGGAGTCGTCAAAAATCAAGATTTGAACTTCGTGATTTAGAGTTCAGATCTGCTCAGGCTACATACACAGGATATTTAAGATCTCCTACAACCTGTGTCACAGCAAACACAAGGTAAACTGCAGGTTGGCCTAATCTCACTCCATTTCATTTACAGTTGTTTTACGGAGTGCAAACAGAAATATTAAAGTGCAATTTTCAACTTTTTTTTTTAACTGTGAAACACATCAGTTTTACTTCTGCCTGTCAAAGCCTTTGAAGAAGATGCTCACATTTCTAACAATAGATCTTTAATATCTTTTCAACTGTTTAAAATGTAAAAATAATATGCATGACTCTATACACCAACCCTGAAACTATGTACAACTACTAATTGTTCCCAGTGAAAACCAGTAATGCTCCTCACTGTTTCTGTAGGCGAGAACAGCAAATTACCAGCCAGCAAATTAGAATCTTAAACATGGAACACAGCCTTAAGCATGAAACATCTACAGTGAGGTCAAAAGGAACGATGTTTGCTTTGAAATCTTTGAAAAGCAGGAAACATCTGCATTTGAAAAAATACTTTGAAATAGCATATAATAACTTTTTTTTTTAAAAAAAGAGAGAAAATACCATTCAAATAAATAGTAATCTTAAATACTTATTTCTCTGCTACCCAAGGTTTGGACTCCTGCTTTTCTTTGTTATTACTTGACTTTGTATTTGTACAGATTTCAGATCAAGAGAAAAAAGTAAAACCAGTTCTCTACAACTTGTTGAGCAGTAAGCACAGAAATCAACGAGCTAACAGGGGTAAGTCAGAAAAACAAATCCCAAAAACAAACAAAAATTACTTTAAATAGGAAAACTGCTAGATCACACTGTTCCAGTGCAATGATGGAATTGTCAAAGTCATGAAATAATCTTACCAAGATCTTGAGTCTACCAAGAATTGAAGTCACCAATTAGGCTTACACAAGGACAAATAGTTTTAATATATTTCTGCTTTGTGTTCAGCCTTTCTCAGGTCTCATCTTCTGACTCACACTCAACCATGTGCTCCCTAGCTACGTGCAAGGACATACTGGTGCATATCCTCTTACATGACCTTGCTTTTCCTGCTATATAAAAAACTGTCTAAAAAAGCAAATCAAATGGGCTGACCTCAGATTTTCATGCATCTTTTAATCATTTCTCAGCAGCAAAATCATAAAGCAACTACATTTTATGCTGTGGCATCTGGTGAGGTGGGAACAAAAGGAAACTCTAAGTCTCAATGTATAGTTTGTTTTCTGCAGAAAGGAAATGATACCATTTTTCTTTGCCTTTCCCATCTGTGTCCAGGAAACACACGTGTGCCATTAGAGCATACACGGATACAATCAGAGTACAGAAACATCAACAGAAATTGCCTCTCTGTTCTGCAGGTAACCTTTCATCATTCATATGAGCAGAGAAACACAGTGAACTAAGGTCACAGAAATCTCTTTAAAAAGCATGTCTGAGGAACATTTGTACAACGAAGTTATTCAAAAGTGTCAAATGAAATTCAAATGAAATTGAAAACAAGATTATTAATAAAACCAAGAACTGTGCACTCACATGCTGTAAGATTTTAATTTATTTTCACTATCCAGGCTGTGTGAGATGTGACAAAGATGGGTGAAAAGTTACCTTTTAATCAGTAAGATTCAATCACTGGTCATAAATACTAAGCTAATAGGTGAAGCACATTGGTGAGTTTTTACATTTGTCTTCACATATTATTTTTTTTCTCCTACTCAGTATGTCAGTTAGCAGACAGCTGAGCTTAGGCCACTTAAAATAAGTCTCACTGTACTGTACAGTTGTATGGTCTGTAGTGATGACGATGCTCTTCAACTCAATCTTCTTCTTTCATACTGTCCTTGTGCTTTTTGGAGATATTTATTTAGTTATTTCTAAAGAGAACCTAACTTTGTCATACAGTATTAGGAAGTATTTTATGGCTTGTGGTTTTGATGATACAGCATGCAACGCTTCTGTGGAGCGCTCTGTATTAAACAGAAATCCTATGGAAAGTAAGGTCATGTTTATTTTTCAGACCTGTATCCCTACATACAAACTTTCCACAACTCCAGAAAATCATCAGCTTGAGCACAGAACAGAGTCACTAAGAGTATTAGTTACATCCCTTGTATGTGGACTACCTAGTGACTGAGCACAGCTGAATGACAGCTTGCAGGGACACAGTTGATAGAGGGTGTTTTAGGATACAGTAGTTATTCAGAACCCACTCAGATGTCTCAGCAGATTAATTGGTCTTTTTATGCCATTTAGCTGACATATTCGACATGAAAATAATCAAAATATGACCTATATCTAGGCGGCAGTTTTTCAGTCAAGCTCTTTCCTTAGCCAGACCTCTGTGAACACAGTGTATAAAACATTTCCACAAATCAATCATGATTGAAAAATATATATATATATACTTTTGGCTTGTGGTCCGTGGTTCTGTCTCCTTTTTTACATTATTAAATTCCACTGAATCATAATGACAGTAATCTCCTGTGCCAGTTCCTTTATATTTCATTATTCTTTAATTCTCTCCTACTCGGTGGGCTGCTGAGTTATATTTCTCAAAGTAAAGGAGGCACATCCTTTAGGAAAAAGAAAGTAAGCAGTGATATTAAAAGCTGTCTTCTCCCCGAAATGGAAAAAATCTAACATCATGAGAACTGATTACCAAGGGTATGAAAACTTCCTCTCTGTCTTAACTGACTACTACAAGTACCCTCTAAATATAGCTTTGTAATTCAAGTAGCCTTTCTGACACAGTAACAGTAAATTTGTCTTCTACTGTATACCTACAAAATAATGATAATTTCATTATGTAAACAAGTTATGTCCACTGCATTAAGTGAAGATGCAGATGACCTCTCCATGCGGCCTATTAGGCCAATATCACGCATCGCTGCTCCTAGTAAGAACTTGGCAAAAGGAGTCCAGCTTCAAGAAGTTATATAATGATAATCATGCACTCTTCTTTTTAATCTCTCCTCCTAAGATCCTTAGCAATATTTTTACATCAATTTCTTCTGCCTCATTTCAATACAAGCTGAATTTTTACTTACGTGCTCTTTTTGCATATTAAAGAACTCCCACTGGATTTCAGAAAGCTAAGAGTTGTTTCTTTTAAAAAGTAAAAGATGTCCTGTTGCACATCACACTTCTAAACAGTAATCAGTTCATTAAAATCCACAGAAAATGTAAAAAACATGTGTGTTTTGTAACTACGAAGCCACTTCATTCTTCCTCCTATGTCAGATTTTTGTTCCTTTTTAATCTGAGTGTATACTACACAGTTTTATTTATTTTTTGTTCCAAAAGCTCTTAGTGTTGCTTATTATGTAAACCTCCTACTACTCTGTCTTTTAGCCTTTGCTGGTGTAGCATTATTGGGATAACATAAGCATGCCCAAGAGCTGCTGCTAAATAATTGAAATTCATTTCATTTTTAGAATGGATTCCTCCCTTGGAACATTTGCTGTAATAAAAAGTGCTGTTCTACTTCTAAAATAAATTTCCATTTCCATTCACTGAAGTGCATTTTGGGAAAAGACAGAGGAAAAAAAAAAAAAGAGAGATTAAAATGGGTAAGAATGACACCAAGGAGATATAATCAGCTAAAACTGTTCTACAGAAAAAAAAAAATCATGTGTTACATCATCAGTTTTATTACCATGGCTATGAATACCAAAGCTAAATTTGTTTGAAATTTAGCATAAAATGTGTGTAAGGGAGGCCCTACTTCCTCCCCCTTCCCCCACAGACAGTAGAACATTTTGAAAGTTAATCTTTTTAAAAACTGGTCTTGATTTCTTTTCATAACCACAATTAATTAAAGCATACAATCTATTTAAAGGCAAGACATTTGCTGCTGGTTTGTAACAGTGCTACAAACAACGTGTTAAAAACATCCTACCTAGAACACTATAGATGGACACGATTTAAAACAGATTTTTACTGCAAGGCTAACATGGTCATTCTCATTTCTCTTACCTGATGCACACGTGCTCATTACAGCACAGAGGAAAGACATCCCCAAACCTGTGTCCATTAGTACTGGGTAGGTCTAAGGGTCATATTGGCCTACATCAGTCTGTAATAACATCTGTGCATGGCATTTGAAAAAAGGTGCCAGAAATAAGTTTATCTCTATTCGGTATGTGTCTAACTACCAGAGTCACTCACTTGTAAATCTGATACAGACCAGAACAGCTGTCTGTGACACTGATGATCTTAGTATGGTTGAACAGTTTCTGTCTTAAAACACTTAAAGGTTTGTTAAACATCACCCTAACAACCAGAGGTTCTATCTTTGCTTATAATACAAATGTTTTTAATTCAACAAACTAAATATCTAAGTAAGAGAACACTGAACACAACACACTCCTAAACGGAGATGCGAGCAGTTCCACTGACTTCACTGTAAGCAACTGACACTAAGCAAGTGCTTTATTGGGTGGTTCAGATCCTAGGCTGACTGACTCCATCACGTATTTTAGTACCAACTTCCAGAAGAAAACACTAACATTTGCAAAGGAAACACATTTTCGTGATAGACTGAATCACTCTCCTATTTTATAGTCACAAAAAAAAAAAAAAAAAAAAAAAAAAATCCACCTGTTTATCTATATAATATAAATTTAAAACCACTGAGGAGAACTGACACTCAATAAGCTCATTGCACATGCCTTTCTTTTGGGCAGACAAGGGACCGTGATTTACTAAAGTAAACAGTCACACGATAGCTATCAAAGACTGAAACAGATGTTCTGATTCTGGCCTTATCTACAATCTGGAAAATAACAGTGATAGAGACAAAACAAAACAGTTGGTTTTTTTTGTCATGTGGTGTGATTCAGCTACCTGGCAACATATTGTGAACAGGCGTGGCAATGTTAACATCCTGGAGGTGTTTCAGTGTCTCAGTGTGGAACAAACGAAGCGTAGATCCAGATGTGAAAGCAATCCAGACTCCCACTCCAGCAACAGCCATGTGAGAGATTACCATACCTTCCTCTTGGTGTGCTTCAAAATGGCTCTGTAAGTAAAACAAATAATCTTTGAGGAAATGTTACATCATTCAACCTTCATTATCAGCTTCTCAGTACGGGCACTGTGTCTATGTCCTCCATGCCAACAACAAAGCTCATTTTCTTTGCTTTGCTCGGGATATGTCCTGACTGCTTCATAAGATTTGTTATTTTCTATGCTCTCTTTTTTTTTTTAAACAACAGATATATATATGAATGCATATAATAAGGTGATGCACAAGCAATTGCTCACCACCTCAGACTGATGTCCAGCCAGAACCCCAAGCAGAGGAAAGGACAGATGAACTCCCACCGCTTTCAAAGCTCTTTCTGCATGATATCACATGGGATGGAAAAATATCCCTTTGGCCAGCTTAAGCTAACTGTCTTAATCCTGTTCCCTCCCAGCTCCTTGGGCCCTTTGCACCATCCCAGGCACTAAAGAAAGAAATTCCAACCTAGCTGAAGCTAAAACAAAAAGTCAAAATGCTTCTTCTGATGACAAATAACTATGCCAGACTTTCAGATCTAGTGCCTGAATTTTCTTCCTTGATCTAATGTCTTCATAGTTACAACTTCTAAATAGCTTTAGAAAGGCTGAAACTTCTCTACATATTTCTGTTAACATGTGAAATAAAATTGCAGTAAAGGTCTCTAATCATTAAGAGGAAGTAGTGATATTTTGGTTTCATTTTTTCTTCTAAGTAAGCAGCCTATGAAGTTAAACACAGCCTTTTAATGTTGTGCCAGCTATTATCAAATGCAGGGGGCTAATCTGATAAACATAACATTTCCCTAGCTAAATAAATGGCAAACTGTTCTTTGAATACAAACCCCTCCCAGAGGAATATAGGAAGTAAATATCTGCAGTAATATTCACAGTTCTTATTATATACTCTTAACTATATTCGTAGATAAAATGCAAGAGTACCTCATTCCTCACTGTAAAATCACACTTAGATTTTCTATGCATTAGAATTAAGAGCTACATTTTAGTTACTTTGCATCCCAATTTAAATAACACAGTTCTAAGGATAAGCTCTTAGCCTAACACAAGTATATTTTGAGCATATTTGCGTATTGCAGTTCAATTTCTTCAACTAAATTCAATGAATAGATGAAGATCATAAATAAGAATAGGACTCAAAGCTTTCACAAAATATAACTTCTGATACCTTACTTAGAGGTCCTTAAGTAATAAAGTATGAAAAGCAAATTCACAATAGATAATAATCCATAAACTACTACTTTCCACCACAAAATTGGCTTCTTACAAATAAGGAAAATTACTTTAAAAAATTGTTTACATTTTTCTTTTAACGTTCAGTTATAAAAACTTCTCAGGCCACTGAAGTGAATCCTGCTAGCAATCCACACTGTTTGGAGTAAGAGAAAAACGAAGCTGATCATAAAAAATTAATTTTCTTTGGTTTTCTGACCACAGACAACAATTGTGTGAGTGCAACTGTAAACAACTTCCACAGGCATTTTTGTCACATTCCATTTTTACCAGCTAACTTGTTATACTCCCACTTTGTCTACCCTGCAGTTGGTACAGCTGCTTGTTGAAATGTTTCAAGAAAAACTGTAATACTGTCAGCGCCACAAAAAGCCTATAAAAAGAACTATTCTTCTCTTTCAAAGATGGAACAGGAACATACCCAAACCTGAACATTCTTTTGCAATTGCTTATGTTTTTGTATCGAGGCTTTGACATCTGTTTCAATTACACATTTATGTGAAACACAATTTTTTTTCCAAGATTTTTTTCTTCTCATGAAATACAATTATTAAAGGACAAAAATGGCTTATTCTCTTTTTAAATAAAGGAATTGAGCTTCATTCCATTTTACTCTTCATAACTTCATTCCTTTCTGCCTTCTATTCAGATTCTTTTTCTTGTTTGTTTTTGTTTTTCTCAGACAGTCTTATTCTAATTCTATGGCAACATCACAGAGGCAGAACACTTTCTGGATGCCACAGAGAGTCTGTCTTGCAGTAGAGTTACACATAACTAACTATTGTTTCAACAGCGTGTGGCATTGCTGAAATCTTTCTTTTGAAGGGTTGCCCACTCATACTGAACAGCTGTGCCAAGAACTGAACTGCAGTTTTTCAAGCTTAATGAGAGATGCATAATGGGCATCATCACTCACAAGGTAAAACAAATTACTCACCACTTTTAAAAAAGTACAATACTTGGGCAAAATACACTCAGGTATAGGATTTTCACTTGTTCGGTTTATCCAGCTGAACATTTCAGCTTATTCTACATCCATCGTTAAAACAAGAATTGCTCATGTATGGTTAGCCAATTATTTAAAAACAAGACAAACCAAAACAAGATGTAATAACATTCAGTTGGTGACTTTACTAAATTCTCTGGCTCTTTTCACAGTTGTTTTTAAACAAGCACAGCCTGCCTTTGCAGAGCCTAAGGGTCTACAAGCACAGAGAATACTCCAGGATCAAGGTTAATACTTGAAAGCAATACAGCTCACAGATCTAGGATCAAGACTAAGGACAAGTTTCTTCTTCTTAGAAAGAGTACCAGAAAATATAATTAATATTTAACAACAGTTGTTGCATTTCACACATGTCCCATCCCAAGGGGCTTGAGGTGTTGATGACAAAATCATTTCCTGAAATGAGGGTGACCTCATTGCAGCCTTTCAGTACCTAAAGGGAGCCTACAGACAGAAGGGGAATCAATTCTTTGAAAGAGTAGATAACAGTAGGACAAGGGGAAATATTTTTAAGTTGAAGGAGGGAAGATTGAGGTTGGATGTCAGGGGCAAGTTCTTTACAGAGAGAGTGGTGAGGTGCTGGAACAGGCTGCCCAGAGAGGTTGTGGATGCCCCGTCCTTGGAGGTGTTCAAGGCCAGATTGGATGGAGCTCTGGGCAGCCTGGTCTGGTATTAAACGTGGAGCTTGGTGGCCCTGCATATGGCAGGGGGGCTGGAGATTCATGATCCTTGAGGTCCCTTCCAACCCTGGCCATTCTGTGATTCTGTTAATTGTTTTATACAACACCAAGAGAAAAAAAAGAAAAAAAAAAAGGAGTTGCATAAAGGGAAGACTAAGAGTTGAACACTGTGCAACATCTGGATTCTTGTTGACAAAGCAGAGGTGATTAATATGCAGAAATTATGAAGCTAAATCTTTACTAATAAGTGAATTACCTGTTAACAGGAGAGGACAGAGGGAGAATAAACATTTATTTGCTGCTATTTACCTCCCAGCAGGAAAACTTACACTCTGCAAGATAAGAAAGACGTATCTCAAATATATTTTGGTTCTCATGACAGTAAAATATGCATTTTTGAAGCAGAGTCTAAATTTCATGGAGTCACAGAATCACCAAGGTTGTATAAGACCACCAACACCATCCAGTCCAAGCATCCACCTACCACCAGCACTGCCTCATAAACCATGTCCCCTAATACAACACCTACGCACTTCTTGAACTGGCTCTAGGGACAGTGACTCAACCACCTCCCTGAACAGCCTGCCCCAGTGTCTGACCACTCTTCTCAGGAAGAAATTTTTCCTAATATCCAACCTGAACCTCCACTGGCACAACTTGAGGCCATTCCTTCTAGTCTGCTCACTAGTTATGTGGGAGAAGAGGCTGACCCCCAGCTCATCAAATCTCTTTTCAGAGAGTTGTTGAGATCGATGAGGTCTCCCCTGAGTTTTCTTCAGACTAAACAATCCCAGTTCCCTCAGCCAGTCCTCAGAAGACTTGTTCTCCAGACCTTTAGGTTAGTGAGCTGTTTAGTCTGGTGAGATGATGAAAACAAGATTGGTACCTGTATCTTAGGATCAGTAAAGAGGCAACAGAAATTAATCACTTATTTGCAGATCTATGAGGAAGACCATATGTTATAGCATGGCTATTTGTCTGAAATAAGCATGACTGTCAGCCCATCATGGAAAAATTAATCACATTCTTAATTAAAACTATGTTATGAAAAGCATTATTCAACTCAGACAAACCATTTTCGCACTATTTCAAGTATAACTATATATAGCTATAAAAGTAAGTGCATCTGATCTCTATAAACAATGGGTGGATTGGTTTAAAAAGCACTTTGGAAATGGAAAGAAACCTCCTACGATCTGAAAAATGAAATTACTAGGTCTGAGAGAGAGTGACAGAATATTTATTTTACCTCTCTGAACTTCTGCTTTCTCTACTATAATTCACTATTTCTCTACTATAATTCACTATTTCATTAAGCTTTATATATTCTTTAGTCCTCAAAGTCTATCTCCTGCTTTTGTTCTGCTGTGCCAAAACTGCATAGCATAATCCAAACTTTATCCAAAAACATCTATGAAGAATTTTATTATTGAATTAGTTGAGAACTACCAAACTTATTTACAGTGATTTGGCCTTATATAGCCAAATTCAGGAATGATCTGATTGTGCTCTACTACTGTTGCTATGTATTTTTCAGTAGGAATCAATGAGAGTCATAGAATCACAGAATGGCCTGGGCTGAAAAGGACCACAATGATCATCTAGTTTCAATCCCCCTGCTATGTGGAGGGTTGCCAACCACTAGACCAGGCTGCCAAGAGCCACATCCAGCCTGGTTAAAGGAACCATGACAGAACTGTTTAGGACAGTAATTCTAAGTGTCCAAGAGGCTAATCCACTCCCCCAGTTAAGGTAGCTGGAAATCCATCACAAGTACCTATCCAAATCCCGTTCAAAATCTTTCCCTTATCATAATACCCAAGCTAGAAACAATATAAGCATTGGAGAAAATACAAAGGAAGAAAACATAAGGTTCAAACATTTACTTAGATGAAACAAGTAATCCAGAAAGCCCAGATACAAAAAACAAAAACAAAACAAAAAAAAAAAACAACAAGAAGAAATTAGAACATTCACTATTTCCCTTCAAACCCATGACAGTGACTCACAGAATCAATTGTACTAAGCAGACAATTGGTGGGAGAAAACATGATCATCAATGAAACAAAACAAAGCACACAATGAAGGAGGCCGTGATCTCACACAGATTCCCGTTTGAAAGAATTTTGTGGCTGTAAACATTGTGGCACTCACTGTAATTCTATCACAGATTGAAGGAAGAGGTGTTAATTCCTCATATTTTGTAAAACAAACTTTAGGCCACTAAGATGTTCTGTTGTTGTTATACTGCAGTTTTAATGGAAATTAAGGTCTTACACTTTTTGGAAAACATGGTTGTAAGCAGAGTTGGAATCCTTAACATTTTTCTGCTCTTCTACATGAAGAACATTTCTGTAGGCCACTGAGAACCAAAACTGATACAAATTTTATTAGAAAGTAGCAGTAACATTTAACTATGCAGAGTTTTAATTTAAGTTTTCTGTAGTTAACAGGCAATTCCTACATGCTGTTTCTTTGCTGTCCTTCCCTCCATTCGAATCTAATTTTTAAGCAAACCCCCCAAATATCCTATAAGTACTTTATGGAAACATGGCAGGGAAACAGAAGAAAATCTACATGTAATCAGACAACAGCAGAGGACATTCCAGTAAAATTTCAGACTGCAGAGACTGGGATTTAACAGAACTGAAACCACAGTTCATGAAAACCTTCCTAAATCATGAAGCCTCTAAGAAGAGATTATAATGTCTAGATTTTATCACTTTTACCTTGCAGCATAGTGTAGCATGTGAATAATTATTAATTTTAAACACATTACCTCTATAAAATGAGTCACTGTGCTGATTATAAAAATTTGTCCACCACATGCAGCCCAAATGGTATCTTCCATCACAAGCAGACTTCTAACAGGCAGAACCCCCAGTTTAACTGTCTTCTGAGGTTCTGTGTTCCATGTTCCATCTTTAAGAAAAAAAGAATAAGAAAGACTGTAACACAATAAATAAAATTGCAATCCATGTTTAAAAAACTTCTGAAAGCACTGATCAAGAAGCACCTAGAAATGCAGCTACACAAAGAATCCTACAAAGAACAGCCATAGTGATATCACAGAGCCTACCATTCAGATCTTCATGACTGGCCACTTCAAGCTGCACTCTGATTTACATCTGTTTAATTTTAGCTTTTATGGATAGCTTGTAAAGGTAATATAACAATAAAGGGGAAAAAATGCTCATCTATTTCTTAACTGAACCATTTTTATCAGGATTAACTAGTAAACAAGTAAGTCCACGTTGCTGTTCTCATGTAACTGTTTTTCTTCCCAAAGAAAATGCAGTCAGAAAGCCACTATTCTCCAGAAAGCAGTACTCTCAGAAAGCAGTATTCGACAGCTCAGGGGCTCACAAGAAAACTATTTCACAATAAATCAACTTTTAACTGGTCAGAATCACATTTCATGTGAAAAGTAGCCAGCCAGTTCTTTACAGTAGGTTCTAATGAGCTCCAATAGCTCTCTAACTCTGCAAATTGATAAAAGGGACTTTCTGCTAGTATATGCTTCATAAAACGAGGGGGGAAGGGGCTTGTTTATTTGTTTTGGTAGTTGTTGTTTTAATTACAACTGAGTGCTCTGCCATATTTTCACTTAGTTTCTATTATTCCTCTGTCCTCGTTTTGGCTGGAATGCAGTTGATTTTCTTCACAGCGGCTGGCGTGGTGCCACGTTTTGGATTTAGGATGGGAATAGCATTGACAACGAAGAGATGTTTCAGTTGTTGTAGAGCAGTGCTGCAACAGAGCTGACGATGTTTCAGCTTCTGGTGCTGCCCACAGTGAGGGGACTGAAGGTGCACAGGGAGCTGGGATGGGACAGAACTTGGACAGCTGACCCATATGAGTCTAAGGAATATTCCATAACATATGGTGAGACGCTGAACAATAAAACTGGGGGAGCTGGCCAAGATGAGGGGTGCTACTGCTCAGGGACTAGTTCAGTTATACATCAGTCAGTAGGTAGTGAGCAACTGCTTCTGCTTATTCTTTTTTTTTTTCCTTCTTCCTTTTCTTTGTCCTTGTCCTCTCCACCCATCGGTTCTTGAACTTTTCCATTTTCTCCCCATCATATTATGTGCAAGGGGGGGTGAACGAACGGTCACTGGTGTTTAGCAGCCTCTGCTGGGTTAAACTTCAACATCCCTCCAGTGATAATTCATGGTATTTTCTGTCCACAGAAAATTTCTGTGCATTTAACAGGTCCAAATTACACCTTGCACATGCACACTGCATAATCAGTTATTGAGACCTTCTAAAAAAGCTGCATGCCACCACATACCTCTCTAGTCACTTTCACTTGCCATCTCTTTTCAACTAGGATGAGCAGATTATTCTCTCCAAGTTTAACAGCTAGGGGCACGCATCTTACATATATAATTTTTTATATACAAAACTGAATAATCATTTTAATACTTTCATGAGTTTATTCTGGGGAGGAATAATTGCATGCACCGGTACAGGTTGGGGAGGTGACCTGCTGGAGAGGAGCTCAGCGTAGAGGGACCTGGGTGTCCTGGTGGACGACAGGTTGGCCATGAGCCAGCAGTGTGCCCTTGTGGCCAAGAGGGCCAATGGCATCCTGGGATGCATTAAAAAGAGCGTGGCCAGCAGGTCGAGGGAGGTGATCCTCCCCCTCTACTCTGCCCTGGTAAGGCCTCATCTGGAGTACTGCGTCCAGTTCTGGGCTCCCCAGTACAAAAAAGACAGGGATCTCTTGGAAAGAGTCCAGCAGAGGGCCACAAAGATGGTGAAGGGCCTGGAGCATCTCTCCTATGAGGAAAGGCTGAGTGAACTGGGTCTGTTCAGCCTCGATTAGAGAAGACCGAGAGGGGACCTGATCCAGGTCTATAAATATCTGAGGTGTGGGGGGCAGAATGGCGAGGACGGACTCTTTTCAGTGGTGAGTGGAGACAGGACAAGGGGAAATGGCTGGAAACTGCAGCATAGGAAGTTCCGCACAAACATGCGCAAGAACTTCTTTACAGTGAGGTGACGGAGCACTGGAACAGGCTGCCCAGGGAGGTGGTGGAGTCTCCTTCTCTGGAGATGTTCAAGACCTGCCTGGATGCCTACTTGTGCGACCTGCTGTAGGGAACCTGCTTTGGCAGGGGGGTTGGACTCGATGATCTCTGGAGGTCCCTTCCAACCCCTACAATTCTGTGATTCTGTGATTTCTGTAGCATGAACTCACTGAGCATCTCAAATCCTACCTTCCGTCCTTTGTTTAGTATCAAAATCTGTTCCATCTGTTTTTATCTTGAGACTAAATGGTCCCAATTCCTCACTTGAAAGCCCTTTAATCTAAATAAACTGAAGAAATGTTGCTTACATTACTTTACTTACATTACTGGTTCACAATAACAGTGGTAACAGCAACAATGATGTCTCTGCTTTGGAATACTTGTGATTGCTTCTGCCATCTGCGTTATACAGTCTTTGCCGAGTCATTCTCAGGATGTGACTGAGTTCTCAAAGCATCTTTGTGAAAAATGGCATTCAGTTTCAGACTGTCAAGATCATTTTCACGATTTCAGTTTGCAAGAGAGAAGCATGTCTCCAATCATTACCCTGCGAGCTCTCCCAGCAATGTCAGTCACTCAACCTTCACAACTCATGTTTACCATTAGTAATAAAGTAACCTCTGGAAAAGTTTGCGTTTGATAGAAATCACATTACTCTGAAATTAAATTGTTAACTGCAAGCTGCCCACACCCTGAGAATGCTGTTAAATGCAAAGCCTTCCAAGAATAAAGCTGCACATGCATGTTTATCCTGGTTTTCACTGCCTAAGTTATACACAGTAAAGAGACCACTGCAGCACCTAGTACGTAGCACCCCCAGATTTCCTTTTCAAGGGATGAAACCAGCGTAATTCCCATATATTAATATTATCTCTTCTGAAGGATAAAGACTGAATTTGAACAGAGAACAAGCACGCTGAGGAAGAAGTTACCTTTTTCTCCTGTAGTTACACTTTCCACACTCAACACCACATTACAGAGAAAACTGTTGATTGAACTCAATAGCTCTCAAACGCATTCAATCATTAATCTGTACCTAATTCATAGTTGATTCTCAAGGAACAAGCGAGCTGGTATTTTCAAGATCTCAACCTGACTCTAAGACTTCAACTTTAAATTTCATTTCATTCACCTGAGCCACTTTTTGATTGTGCGTCTTAATGCCCTCAAATTCTGTGCAACTCCTCAGCTAAATGTTCATCTACTTCATTAATTTTGATCTAGTCTTTCTAAAAATTATTATCTAGCATTCGTAGCAGTCTGAATGAAAAGGAAATCAGTATCAGTGCCAGGTGGATGTCAATTTTGAAATAAAATTGCTAAAACAATTTTCTACAAGGTAAGAAGATGGAGTTCAGATGTCACTGTTGAATACCAATATGTAGAATTTTGATTTGACAAATATATATCAAAACTCACCTCTCACAAACACATCTTCAGTACAACACTTTAACCAACCCAGTTAGTCTTAAGATTACAGAGTGCAAAAAAAAAAGGAAAAAAATTGAGATAGAGACTGGAAGTCTTTTCTGTTACCATGACTTTATGCAAAGGAAAGGCAATCCCACTTGATATCATGCTGGGAAAAATCTGGATCTCAGTATCATGTTATCTACAAACCCTCACCATGTGATAAGGACATGCTGTTGTACTTTTATTTCTTTCTGTAGCCATTGCTGTCCTCCTGATCAGACAGCATCTGAGACAGATGAGGGAAAAAGAGGCCATGGAGAAGACTCTCTAGTCTGGTAATGAGGGCAGTATTTAAATGAGCTGTGTTCTTGTCTCTGCCACAGTTAATGCTTAATTAATCATACAGAGCAGGGATAACACCAGAAGGAGAAATCAAGCAGTGCTTCCCTCTCTTTATTTTGTGGTGGCCAGGAAAATGGAAATCTCTTGAGAACTGGAAGCACGAGTACTAATCTTCTCAAGCAAGGCAAGGGATTAAGTCTGGTAATCCAACACGCTTCTGAGAATGCTGTAACCACAAGCTCTCAGCTAAAAGCAAGGTCAGGACTTTATTTTGCTGATCAAGATTTTTTTTTTTCCCCTCCATAGCCAAAATTACTTAACAAGTCTGAATCTAGTTCACAAATTGTTTCAAGACTGTCAGAATCACACACTCTGCTTCTCCCTCCAGATCTCACCAGACCCTATTCAATACCTGCCTGCACAGATTTCATGTTTATGTAAACAGCTGCAGGTTCACACACAGTGCAACAACTTAATTGGCACTATTTATCTACTTAAAACTGGGTGCAGCCCTTGCAAAAGATATGAAAAGCTTTCATTTGAAGTTATAAATATTTGGTTAGTCACTGAAGCCATATATTGATTTCCTTGTAAGGAAAATTAAAAAAAAAAAAAAGAAAAAAAAAAAAGAAAAGCAAGAAAGAGTAGCTGAAATAAAACTTTTATCAGCAAAAAATTAAAGCATACAACATGACAAAGGCAGACCAAGAAGCTTAGTGTAACTTACTGTAGAGTTTTCTAAACTGTATTGTGAAAAGCAGGAACTGATCAAAAGAAAAAATAAGTGATGGAGGTGTACACATTGCTGCTCACAGAAACCTGGCAGTAGAATGCCTGTGACAGCGTCCACAGAAATGGGGCTTAAAATTCTTCTCTACTGATACCTTGTTTCTGTTCTCTTTAATCTTGAGTAGATTTTCTGGATTTTCTCTGTCTCCAGTGTACTGAAAAACTACAAACTCTTTTTTTACCTACAAGTATACAGATACTGTAGAGAGACAATATGCAGTACATACATCCTATCTCCAGAGGTTTGTCTGCATGCAGAAAAATCAGTTGCACCCTGAGCAAATAGAAGATCAAGGCCTGACACCTGTGGAAATGGGAAGAAATAGGGAAAAGTTTTCCTTC